CTTTTCTTGTGACTGAATAGGTGCCTAATATATGAGGTTTTTAAATTTAAAATTAACTAAATAAAAATTTATTTTATCTAGAAATATATATATATATATATATTTAGAATCAAAACTAAATTGATTTTGTGTTTACTTAGAAATATGATGACACTCAGTGGAAGGCTTCCTTGGTGGTCAGTGAGCTGTGAAAAGGACTTTTCCTCTATAGGCTTTAAAACATAGTCAAAGTTCTGAGTATGCATGCTCAGTCACATGCAGTGTTGTAAACCATTGTTACTTCAATTAAAAAAAAAGAAATATGGTGATACTGCTATTTCTTGATTTATTGGTTTTACCATTATCTATTGATTTTCTTCTGTAAATATAGAGGTTTAATGCTCTTATACCTCCCTGTAATTATGTTCCCTGTATTAAATAGCTCTTTTGGATCAAATCAGCATTTACTACTTATATTATTATAATTATGTTCATATTATTCATAGTTGAGTCAAGTAATTTACTATAATTGTGTTTCCTTTCTCATATAAATATGAATTTTAAAATAATAATAATTTATTTGTCTTTTCTTTAATTCTCCTTGTAAAATTTAAGTCTCCTCCAAGTACCTTAAAACTGTAGATGTGGCCCTCCCTGGAGGCACAGCAGGGTTGTAGTGCAGCACTGTGCAGCTGGCTACAGCTACCTCAGTGCGAGTTTAATCCCCAGCCCCCAAGGTGAGCCACATGGCACAGCAGACCTCACCTGACCACCCACTGCTCCCCTCAGCAGTGTACTTCATTGATCTGCTCCCCAGGCTGTCTCTGGTGAATTCTCTCCCCGCCCCCACCCCTCCTCTGGCCTGTACCCCAGTTCTGTATGCATAAATATATACATTTTTAAATAAAAAAAGAAATCCATATCTCATTAAAAAATACCAAAACTGTAGACATAGTTAGTCTATTCTTTTCCTCCTTGCAGACATTCTTCCTGGTGTTCCCCTGGCCTCCCATTTCATTTTGGACTGGTTGCTCTCAGGGGCTGCTACTTAAACTCGAGACTTGCTCTCTATCACTATTCTCAGAATTTCTCTTGCCTCTTTTTTCTATTGGGTCTTTATTCCTTGAATCTTACATTTTTTCTTTTTTGCTAATTTCCCTTGCCTTGTTAGAATATATATTTGGTAGCTTCTTGAAGATCCCTGGGAAATTACTTCTGAGTCTAAGTAGATAGGTTGGCTAGATTTTCAAGCTATATACTGTCACATTTTTTTAAAGATTTGTTTATTTTTATGCACACAAAACTGGCGTACAGGCCATAGGTGCAGGGGTGGTGAGAGGATTCATCAGAGGCAGAGTAGGGAGTAGAACAGGCCGACTGATGAAGTACACTGCTGAGGGGAGCAGCAGGCAGGTCAGGAGAGGTCTGCCGTGCCATGTGGATCACCTCTGGGGCAAGGATCGCACTCATGCTGAAGTGGCTTTGGCTTCTTAGTGCTGTGCTTTAATCTGCTGTGCCACCAGGGAGGACCCTACTGTCACATTTTTTAAAAGGATCATTCCGTTGCCTTTCAACTTCTATTCTACCATCGAGTCATCAGGCTTGTGTCATATTGGTTCCTGATTTTGTATTTGGGTCATCCTTTTCCTTTCAGAAGAGTTTAGAATCTTTGAAAATCCATAATACTTGTAAAAATTCATAGTGATATGAAATCTTGGTGTAGATCTTTATACCTTCATTATGCAAGGCTTCATATGGGTCCTTTCAAGCTTTAAATTCCTATCTTTCAGTTCTGATTAGTATGGCCCTCCACCCTCACCCTTAACTTTTGCTTGTTTGTTTTTCCCCTCATATTTTATACAAGGAGGATCTATTGATTTTTAAACCTTTAACTTTTTAATAAATCCAATAGTACATACCTTATAAATCTAGTCACACTATCAACCAACCAGAATCTTTTGACTTATAATAGGAGCAAAATTTTGGCACTTTACTTAGTTGTTTTGGTCAAATGAGAGTCTTTTTTAGGTTTCATATTAATCCATTTCCAGCCCTAACTGTGTCCTCCAACAATAGAGGTGCTAATACTGATAACTCCTCAACTTTTCCAGGGTTTTAGCTTGAGTAGAAAAACTGCGTTTGCAGCTAGATCCTGAAGTAGATGATAATTCAAACATAATAACTTATTTTTTCTTAAGTAACACAACTAATGGAAAGGTCAACAAGATAGCCTTCTTCCATATAGTCATTTAAGGTCCCATACTGATAGTGGCTCTTCTGTCCCCAAGGATCATTTCCATTCTAGCCAGCCATTCTTATGACTGAATGGAGGAGTGAGCACGGGAGATTTTTATTAGCCTTGCTTAGAAGTGGTGTATGCCACTTCTATTTACCTTCTGTTTACTCAAACTCATTTTGGCTATTCCTAGTGACTAGGAAGGCTGGGAAACATAACCTGGGTATCTGCCCAGAAAGAAGACGACAGTATGATTTTTTTTTTAAAGATTTATTTATTTATTCATATGGAACTGGAGTACAGGCCAGAGATGTGAAGGGTGAGAGGATTCACCAGAGACAGAGAGAGGAGCAGAACAGGCAGATCTACGAAGTACACTGCTGAGGGGAGCAGCGGGCGGGTCAGGAGAGGTCTGCCGCGCCATGTGGTCACCTCCGGGACAGGCGGGAATCGAACTCATGTGGAAGTGGCTTTAGCTTCTCAGTGCTGTGCTTTAACCCGCTGCGTCACCAGGGAGGGCCAGACAGTATGAATTTTGAAGAACTAGCAACCTCTGTCACTATTGTTCTATGAAGTGGAATTTGTGTAAAGCACTTAGCTTTCTCTCTAGTCTGGGTAAATTACCACTTTTCTGTCTGCTTCCACATTTCAAAATTTTGTCATGTCTCTTTTTTCTTGTTTCTTTTATTGTTCTTTTTGTGACTTATTTTTCTATCATTTTAGCAACATTTTTTGGTTGGAGCAGAAGTGGATGTATAGTTATACAGTCATTATTGATTTTATAGTGATCTCAGTGAAGAAAATAAAGTGATTTTTGGCTTTTTGTTTTACTTTAAAGATCATTTAAGACAAGGATGGGTGATGTAGAAGCATGAAGAGACAAACAATGATGTAGAATTGTGAAAACAGGGTCTAAGGTTTGTGGAGGCATTTTCTCCCAATATATGTGAACACTGGATATGTTTTTTAGCCTCTGGAGTAAAGGCCCAGTAGAAAGGAAGGAAATTTCAGGAAAGAGATTACTTCAAGGAAAATTATTTCAGAGATTTATTTGTTTCATGTGTTAGTGATTATTAGACTGCCTTACAAAATTAAGAGTAACCAGGTAAAGAAGTGTACAGCAAGACTAGTGTAGAAGGCAAGCTCCATACTTTAGTTTAGGGGGACTTTGATTAGATGGCATTTGAAGCCCCTTCTAGTCTTTAGTTTTTAAATTCAACTTAACTGACTTTGTCCTGCTAAGCATGGACTTGACAGAAACAACACATTGCTTTAGTTTGACTTAAGCTAAGAATCCAGTCTTACTAGTGAGAGAAATAAGAATGAAGATTTTGTTTCCTTTGAGGAACAAAGCATTCTCCTAGTGTAACATCAGGAAATCTGACAGAGCTAATACTTCCTATAGCTCTTTATCAAGTTAAGAAGCTCTCATTTTCTTTTAAGTGCTTTTCTCTCTCTCCTTTTCCCAAAGATACTAATTTAGAATCTGCTATGCCAAGAATCAGTGTATTTTGGGAATCTACTTCTTCGCCTCCCCAGGGTTACAGTGAGTCATGACTCTGACTCCATTCTTCCTCAGAAATCCAAAAGATGATAGATAATGAAGACCTCCAGTTCTACTCACTTCCCTGGGGAGGTTCTAGGCTCTGGGCTTCTAAAAGTGACCCTCTTCCCCTAGAATTGGCGCACTGTCTGGTATGTGTCACATAGAAACTTAGACTCTGTCTTTTGAGGGATTGATTGTGAAGGTAATTGTAAACTAGCAGTAAGACACAGATAGAAATTTCTAAGGTCAAATTACTTTTCAAGAGATGACTTTTAACTTCTGGAGGTTGTTTTAGGGTAGACACAATAGAGGATGGATATATCCGTCTTAGGAACTCTCCTAAGCACTATCAAAGAGTGCTTACATTCATGTTCATTATTCTGCTTCCTGACATTAGATATCCTGGCACAGATATAACATCTAATTAAGTCCCTTGTTTTTCGGTCAGACTCTGTCCATTTTGTACTCCCACTTTTTGACACATTGAAGAGAGGAGAATTGGATGACAAGCATATGGCATGAAGAGCCTTATGTTCCTTGAAGTCCAGAGGATGTTAGTAAGAATGATTTCTGTGGGTTCTACCACATGCCAAAGCATGTCTCCTGAGAAAGTTACTCAGTAATTATGAACTGTCTTTCCACCTATCTCCCCTCCCCATGGATGATTCAACCAACAGGAGATTCAAGCCATTAAGGCATATATAAACTGGGCCTAAAAGATAATAATGTAAGGAAGTAAAACATGAAATAATAGTAGGCAGAGCTCTGACAACCAATGCTAGATACATTTTGTCAGTCTGTGAGAATGCACTGCTCTTTCTATAAGTCACTTGGGAAGATAGACATATTTCATATAGACTAAGGCTACTTTTCTTCTGAAATGCTCTTGTAATGGGAAAGGTTGGAGGGGCAAAAGGGGAAAGGCCTATAAACCCAGGTAGTGCAAATCACAAGAGTCCCTCAGTTCTCTTTAGCCCCCAAGAATATTCATTAGCTCTCTCCATATTTTCCAGAGTTCCACATTACTTTCTTATTCATTCAGGGTGACCTACTACAAATTGGATTGTAGAGTCTACTCTGACAATATCAGGGAAGTTCCCACTTGAAAGAAGAATAAATAAGAAGCAAAAATAGAGCTCAGTATTGCAAAGTTCATTCATGTTTTCTGTTAACACCTATGGACAATAGGAGAAGGAGAAAATGACCTGTCTCAGAAAAGTCTGTTTTCTATTTTTCAAGCAACCTCATAACATTCTACAGAGGCGCCTAATGGAAACCAACCTGTCTAAGCTCCGAAGCAGCCGTGTCCCTTGGGCCTCTAAGACCAACAAGCTCAATCAGGCTAAGTTTGAGGGGCTAAAGAAGTCTGAGGAGGATGACATGATTTTGGTTTCTTGCCAGGTAATATTCTGAGTACAGATTTTCCAGAGTTTTCTGTCCAGTAGGATTTTGGACCCTTTATGTTCTTGATGGTGGGAGTCCTGTCCTCTAAACTGACAGATTGTGGGTCTTACCTTGGAATTCATTGATGACCTTTAATTTCATGCAAAACTTGAGGAGCATACAGTATTTTGTATGTATGTGCATCTTCATGGGGGTAAAGACCAAAAACTTTCATCAGATTTGCAGTGGGATCCCTCTCTCTTTCTTCTCCTCACATACACATGCATACATACATACATACACAGTATATAGAATGAAACATCCAAAGTCCTTTGGGATACTTTCTTAGCTCTAGATTAAACAAAAAAAGAACCCCTCAAAGGAGATTCAGCAGTGGATAAAAATGGAACACTGTCAACCCTTGTGAGAATGCGCTCCAACCTTACCTTTCATATAACATCTACTGCTTGCTCCCAGGCTCTCCCTTCCCTCTTGTTTCTCTGGCTCCTGTTGAACAATGTGTTTCCTCTTCATAGTGTGCTGGAAAGGATGTGAAGGCCTTGGTTGACACAGGCTGTCAGTATAATCTCATCTCTTCAGCCTGTGTGGAAAGACTGGGGTAAGTAGCCACTTGTGGCTACGTTAGATGTTAATGCAGTTTGTCTAAATATATTTTGAACTTAGAGGTGGGAGAGGGTCTCCATAGAGGCCCCAAAAGAAGTTTGAAGAGCTCAGATATCAGCCAGAATCAGTCCTTAGTGGAGAGGTGAAGTGATGGGTTCTTGGACAACTGGAACAAATCAGTGAGGCAGGAAAGCTTCAGGCTTTCTAATAACTTCCACCTACTTAGTTTTGAGCAAAGACCTCTAGACTGAAATAAGAGACTGTGAAACCCTTGTGTATACTACCCTGATTCTGATGTGCGTACTGCTTAGGCAACAAATTAGAAGGATCTGTCCTGTTGGGACACCTAGACAAATAAAAGCAAGAATGTGGTTGATCTTAGCTTACTCAGGGTCTTTCTGGATGCCATACTATCTGTTCTAAGAAACATTAGTTAGAACTTGGAATAGGGTTGCAATTACTACTGGCTGGAACCATCATTAAGATGGTTAGCTAATGGTTTCTTCCCTACTTCTGGAGAACAGGTAAAATCAGATCTTACTGCTGGCCCTGCTGGAGATTGGCTATGAGATGGACACACTGTGTTTAATGAATGTCTCAACTCTCCAACAGCTGGAGTGAGCCATTTTGTATCTTTTCTCCTTTTCACTCAATCTTTGTTTCTTTATTCCTTTTTTTTCCCTCCAAAGTACCAGATGCATTCTGAGGAACAGTCCAGAGAAATTATCCCAATATCCTTTTCTACTTCTCTGGCCCTAAGTTCAACAAATTATTCCCCAGTCCAAATCTCTGTATTTAAACAATCACAGAGGACAGATGTAATGGCCTATTTCAAGCTACTTTCAAGGCTTCCATACGCTTAGGTAGGGCTTGCACAGAACTTGATTTGTATAATCAGTGATTTCTGCTAAATGACCTATTCCTTCTCATTTCTACCCTGTCCTCACCCCTCACCACCACTGTTACTCTAAGTGGTGACTCTAAGTGGTACAGAAAGACCACTGTGTTTCTAAGGTTTTGTACATTGTTATTTAAGATGGTGGGGGAGTCCAGGACACATGTGTTCTTGAAGGAAGATTCATAAGCTTTTTTATGTGGTAAAGAGATGAGATACAGTGCAACGTGAAGGTTCCAGAAAGACTAATAATGTCCTGCTGCATAATTAGGCAGCAGACTGCCATGATTCCAGAGGAATTAATAACCATCTGTAAAACTGCCATTATTTTTCTTGTGGATGGTCTATAAAACCAAAAGAGAGGAAATGGAATAAAGCAGAAGTATTGGCACAGAAAGTACATAATTAAGTATTTATCCACCAACCCATAATAGCTCCGGTGCTAGCTGCTCCAGTCAGTTTATATAACTGTGTAAAACCTTAGTGCTGTTCCTTTCTTTCCTCTCCTGCACAGAATAAATTAATTAGGGCATTCTCCATGATATTTTTTATTGATTTCAGTATCAACACACTTATAAATAAGTACCTGCCTCCATTAACCGTATAGCTGAAGAAAAACTGGTAAGGAAGACTTAAATAGAAAAGATAAGGAGAACATTAGATATTAAACAAAATATGTTCCCAAAATTAAGATTAACCTGCTCTCTCTGAGATGTTACCCACAGATGGATAAAAGGCCATGTTAACTAAGCTGTCTTGCACGTGGACAGAACACAGTCTAGGCCTAGGGTTCTCTGAGTATGTATATCAATTGGCTTTCACCAATGCAGGTAGTCATATCTATTTTTAAGAACAACAGCTGAATCTTTAAGTATTTTTTTTAAATCTCCTGCATGTTTAGAACTAGGTGCTAAACTCAAAAGTATAGGTTGTTAGCACTATACTTTAATCCCAGAAAACTGAAGAAATTCCAGTGGTGGTCAGAAGGCAGGCATTGCTGTATACCATAAGAAACCTCTGCAAGAGGATTACAGTATCTTTCTTTCTGGTGCAGACTCAAGGAGCATGTCAAATCTCACAAGCATGAAGGAGAGAAGCTTTCTCTACCCCGGCATCTGAAAGTAGTGGGCCAGATTGAACACCTAGTGATAACACTGGGATCCCTCCGCCTGGACTGCCCAGTAGCTGTGGTTGGTGAGTAGAACTGTAGACTGGCCTATCTATAAATCCTTTTCCTGGGTCTCCCTGGTGGCACAGGGGTTAGAGACACAACACTATCAAACTATCATCACAGCCACTGAAACATGAATTTGATCCCCAGCCAGGGAGCTAATCCACATGGCACAACAGACCTCTCCTATCTCCTCCACTGCTCCCCTCAGCAGTGTATTTTGGTAGATCTGCCTGTTCTGCTCTCCACTGTGTTTCTGGTGAATCCTCTCACCTCCTGCCTCTCTGGCCTACACCCCAGCTCTAGTATGCATAAATAAATACATCTTTAAAAAATAATAAATAAAGCTTTTCCTTACTTCCACCAAACCTTCATAAGATCTCATGACTGTAAATTTTTATTTCTTCAGATCCCAGATTTGTACTTTTCTGTGAAATATAGACTGTGTCCCAATTTGTGTCCTCTAAAATATCAGGTGAACCCTAAGCTACATTTAGAACATGTTGAGAATCACTCAGAAAAAAATGAATGGGTAACTCGCATTAAGAAAAATTTTCAAGGTGCAAGAACACGAGTATTGTTTGTATGTAGGTAAAAATGGCTACTGAGAGCTTTTCATGAGCTAAAGGTAGATAACAAGGTCTTCTTACTCCTTTGTTATCAATCCTTTGATAGTTTTCTACTTTCTCCTATATTTTCCCTTATATACTCTTAAGTTCCTGATTTCTGTTTAAAAAGTCATGAGTTTGAATTTTGGCTCTCTTTCCTTTTAATTGTAATGTATAACTTAATAGATGCTGAACAGATTTTGGTTGGATGAATGGATAGATTGTAAAATGAAACCTAATGGCGATAGCCTTATTTCTAAACCAGCATGAAATGGTTGAATCTTTATTCCTTTTTTTTAATTAGAGGACAATGAGAAAAACTTGTCACTTGGACTTCAGACTCTTCGATCACTGAAGGTAGGATTGACTCTACTTTCCCTTGATTCTTTCTATTCCTTCTTACATGGAGACCCCATCATGGTTTTATTCACAGTAACCAATTTGTTAACCACTTTGAACCCTTTGTTTCAGTGCATCATAAACTTGGATAAGCACCGGCTGATAATGGGAAAAACGGACAAAGAAGAAATTCCTTTTGTGGAGACAGTTTTCTCAAGTGAAGCCAAGTGAGTGCCAAAAAACATCAGGTTAAGTCAAGTCCATTTGTTCTAAGCTGGATTTGGGGGTAATCACACAGAATATGGGGTTGTGTTTTGCCTTTGGCCTTTAATCCCTATCCCACAGAACTAGCTACACTTCAGAATGAGCAGCAAAATGGCGGGAGAAATGAGTAGCTTTTAACTAAATTTGTACTTATCTTTAGCTTAATATCTTTGAATTTGGTATCATTACTTCTATTTCTTTCTCATTTCAGCACTTCAGAAGCATAATTACAGCCTGCAGCATATCTGCACGTATGCACACACAACAGGCTGACTGAGAAAACTGGGTTTAAACCAAATGTAGTAGCACCTTGCTGTGGACCAGGTCTTTCCCTCTACTAGAAGCTCTAGGGCTCTTTCCCACCCAGACCTTTAGTCTGTGCTTGGAGATCTTGTCTGGTTATAGCCATTGTTTTTTACTTCTGTGATCACTTAATATATAGACCTTTTTGACACTGTCAGGTCTCACTTGTGTCCTATTTCTCTGCTTCTTTCAGAAATTTGCTTTTGTCAGGTATAGAGCCTGTTCTATTTCAGGTTCTATTTCCCCACACATACACTTACTTCTTTTCCAATAGCTGAAATGTATAATCAACAGGAGCCTTTTACCTCCTTTTAGTTATTTCAAAAAGGTTTCTTAAACCTTTTTGTTGGCATGTCAGGTAAGGATACCTATAAAGGAATCACTCCTTCATTTTGGTTATGGAAGTGCTTAGAGTAGTCAGAAAAATAGTCAAGTATGGGTATCCCTTTAGAGATTCCCAAGTTTCCCTTTGGCTCATAGCTGTAGTTCCTGGAATATTTAATGGATCCCACTTTGAACCTCACCATGTTTTACCAACAGTCTCATCTAATGTCCAGCTACTGTCCCTACCAGTTTTTAGCTCCAAGTTCCTTAAAGACTAGGAACGTGTTGAACAACTAAGCAGCCATACTGTAGCCAGTTATCACTGGGTTGTCCCCAGACTGCCTTCTCAGCTTCTGTAGTGGAAGTGGGATGCAAAACCACAGCACAGCCACAGTAGAGGAGGCCACATTTGAATCTCAGCAGAGGTGAGCCAGGGGCTACAAGCCCTCAGCACTCCCTCTAACCCAAGCCCATTCTCTTACCCGTGGTGGTCTGCACCTTTCCTCTGAGGTCCCCTCACATTCCTCCCTTACCTATGATGCCACCATTTTGGCCCATTTCTTATTCTAGGACCCAACTGAAATACTTCACTTCTTCTTCCTTCTCTAATTGAATGTTCTGTTCAGCCTTAACTGTTGGCCATGATAGGCATGATGGAACTCCATGACCTAGTTTGTCCTTATTTGGATTCACTGTATACCAGGTGAAATTCTTCGGTAAGATATGACTTACTCTGGCCCTTTGAGTTCAGAATTATATGCATCAGGGGAATGATAAGATGGTCTTTGAGTGATCTTTCCGGCTGCTGAGAATCAATAAATGATTTTCTCCTTTGGGAATAGAAGCAATTGGGGTGATCTAAGCTTAAAGTATCATAATCTTACTCAGTGCAGTGAATCATTTGAATTCACTAATCAAATAATTGTTCTCATAAAGAGCACTGGGTCTTCTCAGGGACTGGCAAGGTAAGCAGATAAGGTCAGTTCTTCCCAGGATTCTAGAATATTCTCTATGCATAGCACATCTTGCTGAGGGTGTAGGGAGACTGTCTAACCAGTTTACAGTTCTGAAGACAGGTCATAGCGAGAAGTAACCTATAGAACTGGCAACCCTTGTATTACATATCTGATAGCTATCTGAAATACAGGTAGTTTGAAAAATACTGTTTTTGTCATTTAGTATTTCAATGCCTGATTCATTTGAGAAACAAATGTTTTCCAACTTTTCTATGTCCTTGCCCTGCACAGACCTTACCTGGTAAGATTTCTTTATTCTTTAGCTCAAAGTGTCTATAGAATTGGTTTCTTGGTGTGTCAGCTGTCCTAACTTTTGTGTAATAGAACTATTTTCCAGGCTGGGGACATGGAGGAGATGAACTGGATTCTTTCCTCCTTCTGTTGCCAGGCCTCTGCATTGGCACTTTATCTGCTCAATGTTTCTGGCTGTGTTGGGTTTAATTGTGAGACTTGTATAATAATAAAGTGAAATCTTCCCCTCTGTGTGCTTGTCTTACAAAGTCTTTGTATCAGGGCCCCGGGAAAATGGGGAAGCCCAGGCACAGCCTAATTGCATCAATATTTCTCGTATTGGATTTTCTGAACACAAAGCTTTGTGGTCTTCATTTCTTTCATTATTATGTCCCTTCAGCTCCCTCTTGCTGTCCTTAGGAAAATTAGTGACACTTGCTGAGCTAGATTTTATAATCTACAAAACAGAAATGACAATAGTACCGGCTCAAATGAGATAACTCAAAGCGTCAGCATATGGTAGGCCCTCAAAGCTTTAACTTTACATAAGGATAATCTTTTTTAGTGGGTCAGTCAACAAACAGTGTGTGAGAAAATACATACTTCTTCAAGAGGAAATTCAGTTCAGACAAATAAGTGAGTTTATTTGGGAAGGGACAAATGAACTTTAGTGTGTAGTTGAAAGTTCTACCTTAATGATACCAAGCTGGCATTTTACAGATGATAGAAACTGCTGATATTTTAAATATTTAAACAATGTGCTTAAGCAGTCAACAAGAGACATTCTTTAACAATGGGAATAGTTATTGCAATCTAGAATTATGGTTCCACTACTCAGATGGTACTACTGTTCTATCTCAGAAGACTGACTTATTTTTGTCTGTTTACTACAAATATAGAAAATGTGAAAAGACTTAACCTGTCTTACCTGTCTATATGTCCTGGGATCAAAGAATTTTGGCATTAGCAATTACGCTGTAGGTATCCTTATCTAAACCTACACCAAACTTGATTCTAAAGCAAATGAGCAGCAGAATCAAAATGACTCTATTACTTGCCATTCATAATCATCTTCAGAGAATGAAACCAACAAAACTAAGATATAACAGAGTTTAAAATGTATTCTGACTTTCACATTTAAAGAATCTATTGTACTTGCATGTTGGAGGACTTAGACTCACAAAACTTCATGAAAAATAATATTGGTGCTTCAAATGAACACAATTCTATATGTAGAAATATTAAGGGCAAGTATTAAGGGCTTGGTATGTAGGAGATGCCATTTGTAAAACAGGGACATGAATACGGTTTGAGAAAGGGGCAATGGTAATGCAATCGTTGTCTTCAGAGGTATCAATGTGGAAAGTGTTCTTTCTGGTACTAAAAGGCAAGCATTTTCAGTAGGGGAAGGTACAGAAAGGTATATTGTGACTTAGTTGGAAAGAATAATCTAACATAGCAAGGGACTATGTAAATTTCTACAAACAAGGTAGTATTGGTCACAATTTTGCAGAAGAAAAAAGTTTAAAGCTCAGATTGTATCAGGATACAACTATTTGGATTAAATAGACTTTTAAAATAAATTTATTTCCTAGCAATTTTATGAATGAGATTTATGCATTTGGTATTTGTTTGTATACGGATATCTTCAGAGTCATTTATATGAATGAATAAATGTATCAAGTACAGTTTCCTGTTGACTGATGGCCATCACTACAACATATATTCATTAATTTGGACTGAAATCTTGAGCTTTTTAAACACCTTTGAAGAGTTAAAGATAACTGCTGTTTTTTTAAAAATCAGAAAATATAGACAAATGGGCCTGTATTAT